TTATCATGCAAGCTGTCTTTCCTTCATATCTCAGCATCTTCTTCCACAGATGGACACATCTTCTTCCACATCCACATTAAAAGAAACAAAATCGAAAGAGAACTTAACCCCAACCCGGAATGAACTCACTTCCGTTCGATCCATGGGGGGGATTTCTTTATAGAGCAAGTAGTGTTAACTGGACGGGTCGAGTGTTCAAGTGTTCAAGTGCAATTCCTAATTACTCATTCATAATTTCTGCTTAATTGTGAGCGTATTCCTCTCGTGCACAATTGAAAGAACTACGCATCGTACTAGGTTCATTCATACATTTATTTATTTATTTATTGGTTCTCCCCAAATGAAGGGAAGCGAACTGGCGGCGTAAATTAACTTAATTGAAATTCGGGTCAACAGAGAGGCCAAGATAATGAAAGAAACTAATTAAGGAGCACTACTGCCGAACTGCCCACATATATTTTTGTATGCAGTATGTGTGCCGCTGATTGTTACTTTGCGCATTTGTCGCTCAAATATTTTCAAATATTTTCCCATTTGCTGTGTGTTTGTATTGCCATTATTTGATTATATTGGGTGAGCAAGCGAACGCGGCCCATGGGTTAACAATTATTGTATTAATAAATATTTGAATGCGCTGCCCTCATCTGAACCCATCAGCGTTTTATAGTAGAGTGGCCGTCCACATCAGTTTCAATTAAAAACACATTTTGTGGTCACTGTGTGGTCGCCACTTGGATTCTCCATGGGTTGAGTTCGATTTGAGCTTGGGTTCTACTACACATAGTTCGCAATATTTCTAGGTGACACACCCAATACTTGAGGGGCTTCTGTACATATGGCTTTATGATTCCCTTTTTGCCGATGTGGGTATATACCAGCAGTTGAAAATTTATTGTAAAAGGGGGTCTCTTGTGGTGGCTCATCTAACTGGATTTTAAGACCAATCGATAATGTCAATATTTTTCCTGCTGCTGTTTTAAACCATTTAGTGTCAACTAACTGGGTTAACAAATGTTAAGGTTCTCATCACTGATCCAATTATCCAATCAAGGTGTTGCACTAGTTTTAAGTAACTATAATTAAGGTCTAATTAATGCCATATCTTGTTTTTAGGCGTTGCCTATAGTTAAGCTTTTAACTAACTCAATTGATTTAAATTGAGGCTCAACTCTTTAATAAACTAGTTTTATAATGTTTTAATAAATCTCAGATTAGCAAAAGATAAAAAGTTTAATTTTCAGCCACTTAGAAATTAAATGTGAAATTTAATTGATTTAAATTTAAGCTAAGTCATTAAATAAACAAGTTTTATAATTTTTCAATAAATCTCAGATTAACAAGAAAGTAAGTATCAATTCCATATTTTTAACAAGCAACACCTTTTCAACCACTTAAACACCTCTCTCAAAATAAGATCTCTATAAAGAAAAGTTTTCAAGCCAAGACAATAACTATCCTTTCTACAATATCTGCTCTATTCAACTCAAAAAAAAATGTAAAAGAATGAAAGAGTAACTTATCCCTTGCAAGCGAACACCCGTATGAAAAAAACCACCGCTGATCTTAAGCCTTTGCACAAACAAAGCGGCTGAGCAACTAACCGATTATGTATAAAATATTTATGAAATAGATCCGGGGCGAAAAACTAAGCCGATGGGTTTGAATCATTAGAGCGGAGAAGGAGCACCCAGGAGCAGTCTAAATGGACAAAAAGTGTAACAAACGGCACACGCATCCTGGATTCAACTATATCTACTATATATATCCCATGCACTGGGTTGCGAATCCCGAAGATGCATGCTGGGTAATCAGGTCTAGGCATCTGCTGGGTTGAGCCTTTCCTCTGTATACCATATATACACCATATATTCTGTAGGCGAAGGACCCACAAGGTTGCTCTTTCGACATCCTAAATCCCTGCACTTAACCCGGGTAATAAGATAAGTAAGGCAGATCCGAGGCTTCGTTTTGCTTCTGCTTGTTATCTTTGTAAATTGTAAATGTCGAGCACTTAAGCCAATAGAAAAGGAGACTTGGCTAAGACATTTTCCCGCACGCGTGCTACTCGCTTTATTCCCGTTTGCCAATATTCCCATTTCGGTTTACCCAATGCCCAATTCTATTCTAAAGTGATATGTAGTTAGAGAAAGAAAGCCCCGAAACTGAAACCCTTGGACTGATTTAGCGACTTAGGCTTAGGTAAGTGGATTTCTGAATTCAATCCGAGTCCGATTCCGAATCCGAATCCGGGGCACATGAGATGTGAGATGTGTTAAGTATATAATGCGCTCATCCGATCTATTTCAATAACAACCAACCAGACCAACTTAAGCCGGACCGGCAGCAACCCAATAAAACAATGCCGCCAGCAAATTGTTCTATTCAACTGATCTGCGGATTGAGCACAACAGTTTCAGTTGAGAAACCATCGAAATATATATATGGGTATATATATATATGCAAAATATTTGAATCGATGGCTTAAGGCGTGGGCCAAAACCGATTTAACTCTTGCACTGGCCTAAGCTGAGCATAAACCCCAAATATGTACATACATGATATGGAATCGGAGATGGTTTTCTTCTTTAGGAGCTACTCAAATGGACAGAGGACTGTGCACTCATATTTTATAAACAATGCAAGGGTTTAGGCCAGCAAATATTTAAGTCTTACAATTATAATCTAAGCTGAAAATGGCAGAGCATATTTTTAAATAGGATTTAATAAATAATTTACAAATGAAACAATTAAAAAACAAATGTACTCAGCTAAAAACAAACTTTTCAATTTTGATTTAGATTATTTAGACTATTTAAAATTGGCTGTTGGTTTAATTTAATGGACTTTGAATAACCCTTAGCTTATATTTGAATATTATCTAAATGAACTAACAATGTCATGTCAGCTAGTTACTTATCGATTAGGTAAGTCAATAAATGTTGCACAACTTTCCACCCAGCCGATTTCCCACCCTTTTTTTCCGTTAAAACCCCTTCCTTTTTCCAGCTGACACCTTATAAACCTGCCAGCTAATCGTTTCAATAACATGATTTACCAAACACACACACACAATAATTTACAATTATTGAATCGAAGAAAAATGGGCACACAAAATATGATAATTGCTACCGATCGTCTCTTGCCGGAGATAAAATGTGGAAGGCTGGAAAAGATACAGAGAGTGAGGAGATTAATCTAGTAACGATGATATTAATTATCATTTCGTTTACAAATCGCTTTTGAAAAAGAGCGCGAGGAGAAAAGAGTGAAAAGCGCAGTATTTATGATATCGTCGGGGCTTGTTATTCGAATTTTTCCCTGTCAATCGAATAGCATTTGGATGGAGACACGGGAAGGGAAAACTTGTTGATGCTGATGATGCTCCCTTTTTCTCACATCTTTTACTCCAACGCGCACTTAAGCCACGCACACAAACACATGTCAAGTGATCAAAGAATCAGAAGCCGCCGCCCAAGTGAAATTTTCGAAAATGAAGACATCCACTGAGAACCCGAAAAACACGCAGTTTGAGAAATTTCAAAAAACAACGCCCAAGTCGGTGCCCTTTTTACTATTTCTTTCCACAATTTCCCTAACGTTCTCATCTTTCAAATTGAGCCCTAAGCAAGTCCCGAGTTTTACACTGACAGAAATCGTTTACGTATGAGAAATTTACCAAAAAAAAAAAAACATTTTAGTGAATTCAAAATAATCAAAAATAGATTTTTTAAATTATTTTAGTAAGCTTAACTTGATAAATATATTTTGTGATTGACTATTGATTTTGTGAAACTTATTTAGTCATGTTTGAGTACGCAAATTCTTAAGTTACATCTCAACATACCTTTCCTTTTGATCCCCTTAGCAAGATAAATAGATTAATAAATATAATTGAGGACTGACAGTTAATTTAGAGAGACCAATTTTTTCTTGCATAATTAGAAAGCGAATTCATCAGTTACTCCTTTAGATTCGCTATCTTCTAATACTCTGTGTTTAATTTTGGGTTTCTAAAATTCTAAACATTCAAATGTCTAATATAAGATGGTGCCTTTCAGTTTAAAATTTTATAAATTAAATAACAATAACGCTTAGTGAACCCATCACTTTAAAAAATAAATACTTCTCACACATAAAACTGGCTTTAATTTAAAGTTGCTTAATTTTTAAGTAATTTTTCTTTGTGTAGCGCACATATTAGTTGAAAAATTGTATAACAAAAGTTAAGAAAAATTGCCTGCGACTGGAGGGGGAGCGAAGTGTGCTCGCTGGACAGAGTGATCTAGACAATGGCCTGGCTGGGGTTCCGGGGACAGGGATATCGGAGAGGCTATGGGATATCATATCGGATCGGATCGGTGCGGATCGTACCTGCGGTGCCCAGCACATACAGCACACACAGCACATCCAGCACAGCTGGAGTTGTCACTGGGCATGTAAAGAGCCAAACAAAATCGAGTCAATGGGTGATGGCTCATTTTGAACCTCATCCTCTGCCTCATTTTTCTGCCTTTTTTTGGGAATCATTTTCATGTTTGCCGCTCGCTGGCTAGCAAACAACTAATTAAGTCATCAGGATGAAAGCAAGTCGGTAGAGGAAGCTGGGTAAATATTTACGGGATGTGACTGTGAGCTGGACAGCAGCTGGAGGTCAACAAAAAAAAAACAGAGAAAGGTAGTAAAATAAGAAGAAATCTCAAAAGTTGAAAATATATAATGTCAGATAACCCATTTAATTAAATAAAAAATGTTTTATTTTATTTTAGCTGTATCCAAAAATGTGAAGATTATTATAATGCATTAAACTTTTGAAATTTTAAAATATTTTTCAGCTGCCTATATATTGATCTTATGTTTTATTAATCAATAAAACTATTTTGAGTTTTTAGGCTGTGCCAAACTATTCATTAGCACCTATAAAAGTTAAATCTAAAAAAGTTACCAAAAATAAATAAAGGCAGCTTTTAAAATTATTTTTAAATATGTTGTTTATTAAATCATTTCTTTTTTTTTTGTAATTTTTTTGTTACTCATTCTTAAATACATATGTACAAAAAGTGTTTGGCGAACTACAAAGGTCCTCGACTGGCAAGAAGTGGCTTTATTTTGGTAGCCATTGTCCTTCGATTTCGGTGCTCTTTTCTTGCTCTTAAAATCGACTTTCCAGGTCGATTTTGTAGGACCCGCTGAAGAAGCGAAGCGGTCAATGCGTTGCTGACCAAAAGAATTTGCTAAATTGCAAAATTTAGACGTTACGGGATTTTCGCTGGGGGGGGGAATAGAATAGCTATCCTTCCCCAAAGCGACCCTTTTTGTCCCTGGTTTTTGTTCTTTGAGGTTGATCCAAAGCGCTGGGCTTGGTTGTGCGCCTTTACGTCTCTCAAGATTTAGCTGGATGGGAATTTGCCAAAGAACTGCATGCGCTGGAACAACTCAGCATTGAGTTGTGGAGGATAGGCCTGCATCTGGACGGGATGTGGCGACTGGTGATGATGGTGGTTCTGCTGCGGGGCCTGTTGTTGATGTTGATACTGCATTTGTTGGTAGGCAGCTTGATAGGCGGCGGGATTCATGCGCTGGTACAAGGCGGCGGCGGCAGCAGCGGCGGCAGCGGCGGCTCCGGCGAATGGAACTCCGGGATATCCGTAACCGGGAGCCGGGGCTCCATAGGGCGAACCAGCCATCATGGGTGAGAATATGGCCTGACGATAGGCAGCCAAACGAGTGCGACTTGCTCCCGGATTTTTGCGCCTCAATTTGCCAGTCGTTTCGCCAATGAAAACCTCCTCGGCCGAGGGATCCAGAATCCAGTAGTTGCCCTTGCCGGGATCATCATAGCTGCGGGGAATCTTCGTGAAGCACTTGTTCAGGCTCAGATTATGGCGTATGGAGTTTTGCCAGCCCCGCTTGTTGGCCTTGAAGTAGGGGAACCTATTGATCAAATACTGATAGATGCCATTCAAAGTCAGCCTCTGCTCGGGGCTATCCTGAATGGCCATCATGATCAACGCATTGTAGCTGTAAGGCGGTTTCTTGGCATCACTGCCGGAGCTCAACTTCTGTTTCTTGCTTGGATTGCCATCCTCGCTCTCCTGATCCTCGTCCAGCTGATCCTCCAGCTCATCGTCGAACTCCACATCGAGTTTGTCATTGTTCTGGGAGGAGAGACTTTCGGCGGCACTGCTCATCGGTGTACTGGTTCTACTGGGGCTATCGAAATCCTCCGAAGCCGACAGTTCGCCATCGGAATTGGAGTATGGATGCACATACTGATGATGATGGTGATGTTGATGGTGCACCGGTTCGATTTTGATGGGCTGTTGCGTTGGATTAATGGGTTTCTTGGCCAAAATGGCATCGATGGAGAAATTGCTCTTGAATTCCATTTCACTTTTCACCATTTTTGTTCTTCTTTGTTTTCAAAAATTGATTTATCTTTGGTTTTTTTTTCTTGTTTCGAATGCTCACTCACGACTTGAGAGATCGCTTGAGATGTTTGCGCTTGAGATGGTAGCTCTGAACTGATTCTCTACAGCCCCGGTTTGGGCTATTTATAGTCCCAACCCTCCGCTGGCACAAACGAAGTCTACACGAAGAGAGTCCATGGTGCGACAGAGACGGGTGTAGCCATACGAACAGCAAGTGCGAAAGAGAGGGGCAGCTAGGCAGTTAGGTAGCAAAGGCTCCGCCCTCCATTTTGTGACCATTTTGTTCCACACTTTGCCTTTTAACTTCCACAAAAACATTTTGGTATATAGTATAAGGTATAGTATGGAAAGCGGACTTTGTTTGGGAACTTGTGGATGTTTATTTGCAGTCTTTTGCTGCTTCGGCGTCAAAATATCCATTACATCCAATCCAAACAGGGTCGGTCTTTGGGGTTGCTCTCAGTGCGTCTTGCTTCCGCTCGCTGTTTTGACTATTAATTGCACTAACAAGCGGCAATAAAAACAAAAACATCGAGTCTAGAGAATTGCAATTTAATCAGGATATTTGCAATTTCATAATTACATTTGATTGGGAAACCAGAAGTTGCCGACAAAGTGGGCCATTTCTAATCACTTCAAAAAAGATGATCAGTTTTATTGGCCTTATAACTTTGAGTAGCCAAATGTATTAGAAATAATCTTAAAGAAAATTCACTTGATTTTATAGTTTCTTTAAATGTATTTAAAATTTAAGGATGGATTTATAAAAGATGAGTTTACTGTTTTACTTATTAAAACCAAAAAATAATTCGAATTAAATATAAAAGAAATGATTATTTTTACAAGCATAATATATAAAATGTAAGCAAAGTAATAATGGATTAAAAATGGACAAGGTTTTAAATGGGCTTTTAAAATATGAATTTACTATTTTGATTATTTATACTTAAAATTAAAATTCTGAGACAAGAAATTGTTATAATAAGTTGGGCTATAATTTTGGGCTTTGTGCAACGAATAATCTTGGTATATAATAAATAGGATTGGATATTTTATCCACTTATAATTTGACAATGAGTTCTGCGAATTAGTTTCCTAGCAATCTGCGCGACTCCTTGAGTTGCTCCTAATCCCGCCCAAACTAGTTCAAGGGTCGCTTTTGTGGTCCGAGGATTATCTTCCTTGGCTTACGGCACGATTTTCAACAGCTCAATGGAGCTCAGGATTCAGAACTCAAAACTGAGGACTCAGGTAATCCGAAGGGGTTAAACCTTCAAGCGGCTGGATTTGTTCTAGTTTCGCGACAGATTTGCGAATTAGTTCTGGGCGCGCTTCGCCAGAATCAAAGTGGATCTCTGGCAATCCTTTTCGAGATTAATAAATTTGGAAAATTACATTCCGACAAATATTTGAGCTCAGACTTGCAGTTAAGTTTAAAGTTGGCTGGGACAAAGTTAAGTTGTGTTTTGATGATTTGTAATGGAGTTTAAGATAAGACCAGGGACTTATTAGTAAGAGGATATTAGATTAGGATTTAGTAACTGGAACAATAATAAAAAAAATATGAAGAGAAAAAGACATATTAATATTATATAATTATGTCTCAAAAAGTTTCAAAAAGCGAGTAAGTAGACCATAATTTTAATAAATGAAAATTAAGAAGGAATTTTGAAATGCATTTTTTGATTTGCCATAATAAATTGCCATTATAAATACTTACTTTTTAAAAAACTTTCTTAAAAGTTGTGCTTAAATTTTTAAATTACATCGCTTTAATAACCATTTTTAGAGCATTGACAATCATAAGTAAGTCCTGACATATGCAACTCATATGGAAAAACATCCTTTAGGATCAAACGAAGTATAGCCGACTACACTTTGCGATATGGCTACCGAAATGGACTTAAAGTCGAGGGTTTTCTCGATTGCAATTGGGTTGGCAATGGACCGCGACTGGACTAGACCGACTACAATAACAAGGAAGTACAAGTGGTTTTTTTTCCACAGTGTTTTATGTTTTAATGGCATGTTTTGTTAGAACAATTGAACAAATATATATACAGGCAGATAAATCGGGCGAAAGTCAAGTAGACACAATGAAGACGTCAGCGCTGTGGGTTATTACAGATGGATGGATGGATGGATGGGGCCGAATACTTGTCGGCGGCACTGTGCGTTTGATATCTTAGACAACTTGACAAAACAATCAAAGCAGCAACAACACATGTTCCAAATGACTGTCTATTAATTTGCTCCCTTCTCATATTTTTATTTTTTGCCCAAAACCAAAAAAAAAAAAAAAAACTAAGTGAACAAAACAATGGCAGAGTTGGGAAAAAAAGTAGGCAGCGCACTTTTAACGCAGTAGTCCAATTGCCGATGATAATGATGCACTCAGAGAAGTCGGCAAAGTTGAAAGTAGTAGCCGAAAGAGACGGGGCTAGTGGAGTGAAGAGAGAAAGGTAGATGGCAGTGGAAAAAAGTAGGCGGTTAACAATTGTCGAGGCGGCGGCAGGTTCAGTTACTATTCTTTTCCTTTCTTTTCTAAGCGAGGGATAAATGAAGATTTGAACGCCTCGATTTTCTTTGCGGCTTCCCTTTTTTCCTCACTTTTTCCCTCTCTTTTTTGGCTGACCCACTAATTGAGTTGGAAATTTGTATGGTTTTTTGCAAGTCGGAGTCGGACTTGAAAGACATTTCGCCGACTCTGACTTCGACTTTTCCCTGGTGAGTGCATAATTTTGACAGCCGCGACAAAACTAATTGATTTGTGAAAACCCCTAAGCCATCGAAAATCCACAAATCCTGGAACACACACATTGCGGAAATAACAGGGTAGACTAAAAGTAATTAGATTATCAGTTGTAAGGTGTAGTGTGTATTTAACAGAAACATATATAAAATATAAAAAAATTCAAAGCAATAGTAAATGTGTGCTTACGAAAAACAGTTGATAGCTTAGTTTAAACAGTAAAGAAAAAAGAATTTTAAAAAGATCATAATGTCAAAGATAATAGTAAACAATTATAATTTTAAAATGTAATACAAGGTATATTTTATAAAAATTACTTATCATAATAGTATAGTATAATGTAGTTTCAAAAATCTATATTTAAAGCAAAGATAATTTGGCATAGAGAGTGTTTTAAAAAAAATATACAATTTCAAAAATATTCTAAGCTATAAAAATTGTACGTTTAACAAATCATTTAAATATTTAGTTGACATTTTTAAAAAATTTCCTTTTCTAAAAACTGGTGTAAAAAACACCCCATTTTTCTTGACTTTGACTTTGAGTTTGACTTTAACGATTCTCTGCTGAGACGATAATGCCGTAAAACGAATTGATTAGTGATTTGTGATCCTTGAACGCGTACCTTTTCAGCGTGGAGCAGACCGAGAGCATGTGGTCGCTGATTGGGTGATCAGGACACGATCGGGATCACGCTGGCTGACATTATGGTTTCATTGCCAAAACCACACTTAGGCGTTTCCTTGGCGAGCTTCACGCTTCGAGCGAGCGCTACGCCTGCCTCATTAGCTCACAAAAACTATGGAAAACTATGGAAAACTAAGGGGAAACTAAGGAAAAACTATGGAAATCTTTAGGGAACTATGGGCAATGCATAAGCGAATTTCAAATTCCAAGTAGACACCGTGGCCACAGACAATGTGCATGTAATTTTCAATTAACGCCACAAGATTTCCCTCCTTCAGAACTTTCGCCCAGTTTTCGTTCCACTGTGGGTGAGCATTGAGTCTCATAATTGATCGTAATGTGCGATATTCCTTTTGAGGTCCCTGCTGTCAACAGGACTCGTTGTACGATCCTCGATCCCCGATCCTCGGAGACTGTCACATGGCCGGGGCATCAGCAGGACATCTTTCGCATTTGTCGCGCTCAGCGAGTCGTCTTCTCGCCCTCGCACTTTGCCTTTCTGCCATTGTCCTGTCGACAGGACATTCTGCATGCACAGGAAACAATGGCCATGATCGATCTATCGTTGCATACCCAAAAAAAAAAGAAATATGTAGCGATTTTTTATGCACCCGAAACGCTGAAATCTGTCACTAATCAGGTCCTTTCACTCGGGTATTTCTGCATAAGGCTCAGTTTATTGATAAGTCCGGTGTCAATCCCAGATTTTGAATGAATCCTGCTACTTGGCTTAGGTACAAAACCGGACTTAAGTTTATATTGCCTTTACGATCTGGATTCACCTTTAATCTGCCTTTTAGGTTTTAGGTAGTGGGGGAAAAAAGGGGTTTATTTGCAGCCAGGTATGTGAAAATATTTTACAACTCTTTACCATAATATATATAACAACCATAAATATACACCAGTGTCTAACAACCACCTTGTAAAAATTATTTAACAATGAAAAGTAAACTGAAACAAATAATAGAATAATCTAATATTAAAATCTTAAAATTATTATTACATTACTACAAAGTGAAATATTTATAACTGAATCCGAGGATAAAATAAGAAACTTTGCAGTTATTTTAATTTTACTTTTTCTATCAATATATTAAATATTAAAAGTAACCAAAAAAAAGTAAAATAAAAAATAAAACTACAATTTGTTGACGATCAGAAAGACTTAGATTCTATCAACACAATATGTTATCTTAATATAAAAAATTGTTTTAAAAACAACCAAAAATCAAGAATATTTCAAGAGCTACCGCCTCCTACTTCGAAGGCGTCTAAAATTTGTTTTATTTTCTAGCCATATGTGTTTCAAAGTTCCACTTAAGTAGAGTCGCCTCCCCCATATGGAAACAGCTGGAGATCATAAGCAACCTTCTTTGACAACTTTATAGCCTAACGAGGAGCTCAAAGGACCTCCAAGCGTACAGTCGACACCCACTAAAATCGATCGGTTCCACACCGAGGCACATAAAAAAAGTATTTCGCATCCTTCGATGGGCGACTGCGACTTATTGATTAAGTTGTCCATGCGGTTGGCATTGGGATTGGAACTGGGATTGCCAGACAGGATGCATAAAAACCTGGAAGGATATCGCCCGCTATAGACGATCGAATTATAAAGGGCAACTGGTTGCCATCCACAT